CTTCCTGGGTGTCCACGTGTCTGTGTGTCTGAGACCCTCTGCTGGGAAGAGAAGGGGGTTAAGCTTGTGTGTGGGGTGCTCTGTGACGGGGCAAGTTCCTGGGAATAGGGGCTGAATGAGGCCTCCAGGACCGAGCTGCCCTGTCCACAGGGCCCTCCGACATGCCAGGCAGTGGGGCTGAAAGGGTTAGGCCCCAGCACGGAGGGGAAATTCGGTGCTGGCAGGCCACGCTCCCCCAGCCCGCACCCATGTGAGCTGACTGGGAGCTGGGAGAAGGCACAGACCCTGGGAGTGTGAAGAGTCTCACCAGCCTTCCCTTCCCGGCACCCCAGAGCACCCCAGAGTGATCACACCCCTTCCTTCCTCGCTGCTGAGCTCACCGGAGAAGGCTTTCGAAGCCAGGGTGCCCCGCGGCCAGAGCTCAGTCTGCACTGGCCCAGGGCTGGATGTCAGGGTGTCAAGCATCACCCACTACCCACGGTCTCCTGGGAGGCCAGGGCTCACCCAGGGGCTCCTCTCTAGGTGGCCATCTGGAAACCACCTCAGATGTCCTCCAGGCAGACTGGAAACAAGAGTTGGGCTTGGGGAAGGAGGCTGTTGGTTCCGCCACCATGGGACCAACCTGGGGACAGACAGGCCTGGGCACTGTGACCCAAGGACCATAAGGGGGGGTCTGACCACCCACCTCCCTTCCCTGGTGAGGAAGCTAAAGTTCCTACGCTATTGGGGGGTCCACTGAAACACCGTCTCTACTGCATGCATGCATACTCATGCACACACGCACACATGCACACACACACACATGCACACACAGGCTCACGTGCACACACACGCACACATACGCACACATGCACACAGGTTCACATGCACACACATGCACACAAGGCATACACACATATGCACACATGCACACAGAGACACACACATGTGCACACATGCACACAGGCGCACACACAGACACACATGTGCACGCATGCACACACACATGCACACAAGACACATGTGCGCACACATGCACAGGCAGACACACATGTGCACACAGGCACACACGTGCACACATGCACGCACACATCACACACAGGCATGCACACACAGACACACACGTGCACACACGCACGCAGGTACATGCTCCATCACTCTGTTCTGAAACACACTGTCTCTTTTTGTGTTTCCTCCGAAAGTTCTCCCTGCGGGATGCATGGCCTGTATCAGGCAGGAATGCTCTGGCACAAAGCTATTTTGTTTTGAAGGAAGTTATTTTATTTCTTGGGTTTGTGTGGATTAACTGGGAGTTGGGTTTTTTCCACCCTATCAGTTGCCGGCCCTCTGAGACCCTGGACAGCAGATGTCCCCAGAGCATCTGTGCGCGTCAGCAGGGTCCCCTGGCTCTGTCCCCACTGGGGAGGGCCATAAGCTGCTCCTGGGGCTGGTGGCTGGGAAGCTGGCGGGAGGCCTGGGGCTGTCCCTGGAAGCAGACTCCACTCTTCGGGTTCGGGGCAGGGGGTACAACAGCCCTGTCTCTTGTCTCTTCCACACATACAGCTTCCCCTGCATCTCTGGGGCCTGCTTTGGGCCTCACCTCCCAGAAAGCCCTCAGGGACTGAGGGGCACCTAGCGAATGGGACCCTCGGGCATGGCATCCACCACTCCCAGGGCCCCACTGGCCTGGTCTGGCCCTTCCTCCAGTTGCAGGGAGCTCCCCCCGCCCTGGGGCCAAGGGCACCCAAGAGGGCCCCGCCTAAAGCCATCTGGGGATGGCCAAGTCTGTGCCCACTCAGGGCTGCGGTGGAGCTGAGCTGGAGGGAGGGGTGGAAAGGGGCCAGGACAGAGTGTGGGCAGCGTGGACACCCAAACAGGAGGGGAAGATGCAGCCCTTTTCCTTACCCCCGGTGCTTGTTTGCCGATTAAGATGCTCAGAGCCCTGACCCCCGGCAGACCTGTTTACTTCTGGGGATGGGGAGGGGGGCGCAGTGCGGCAAGGGCACAGCACCCCCACACCAAGTAGAGGCTGGGGACTGAGCCCCGGAGAAGGCAAGGAAGTACCCTGTCTTGGCAGAGGTGAAGGTCTCCCTCCACCTGGGCTCGGAGAGACGCCAGCCCCCAACAGCCGCTGCGGCTGTCCTCACATGGAGACCATGACCTTGAAGCCATGGCCTGCGTTCAGCTCCTAAGCGCTGGAAGGACACCGTGACCTTCCTGTTTGCCTTCCCCTGGGTACTACCCACCAGGCCTAAACCACAGGGCGCTGGGGATGGACAGAGCCCACCCTGCCCTAGGGGGCCCAGGCCCAGGAGCCCCCTCCCCGGCAGCACTGAGGACCCAGCAAGAGCCGGGGGCTAGAGAGGTTGGCCTGGGTCTGGCACGGACAGGTGACCTTGGCCGTGGCTGGCCTCTATCCTCAGTGCCTGCCCTGCTGCGGCAGACACAGTGCCATCCCCGCACCCCTGCCCCACCCCTGCCCGGGTCCCCCCCACCCCATCCTTCTCCAAGTCTGGCTGCTGTGGGAGACAGTTCAAGGGCTTGTCACAAGCCTGGGTCCGGGCCTTCAGAGCCTCAGCCCCACCCGCAGGGCACCCATCCCCGAGCCTGTGGAGGCACCTGAGGCTGCCACCTTGCACAACCCTACTCATGAGCCACTCAGCAGCTGACCACCCAGCACGGGCTGATCACCCCTTGCCAAATCAAGGGAGAAGCCCAGTGACCCAATGAACCACCCCCTCACCTCCTGCCAGAGCTCTTCCCCCATGTCTGGCCAGGCTCAGGCAAGATGACTGCCTTCCACACACCCCCGGGGTGTCCACACTGCTTCTTCCCGAATCCTTCCAGCCAGAAATCCCAACAGTCAGTGGCCCTACCAAGCGCAGCGGCCCTACCAAGCGCAGCCCTGCCTGATGTCCAGGGGACCTTGGGGCTGAGGGGCCCAGCTGTGGCTGAGCTGGACAGAGCCCCCCACCCAGATCTCAGCCATGCAAACCCAGGCCCACTTGGGGTCCCGGGCCCAGTCTGGGCAGTGCGGCCCTATTCCCGCTCACCTCCCAGCCTCACCCCTCCCAACCCATCCCAACCCCTCTTCTGGCCCCGGGCTCATCTGGGGCTGAACCTCCTTCCCCCATGGCCAGGCGAAGTCCCAGGCACGGCTGTCCGGCTTGCTCTGGGACATCTGGGCTCTGTGACCAGCATTCCCACACAGGAAAGGACAAGCCTCTGTGTGGGAGTGGGCACAGCCTGTATCCTGCTAGTCCAGAAGCCTGATTCCAGGCCATGACATCTGTGACCTCCCTCGGCCTCTGACCCCAGTGGCCAGCCTCCCCTGGGCCCCACCATGGCTCCAGTCGCCCCTTCCCTGTCCTGATTCTGTCACCATCTGTGACCTCGGCTCCCCTGGCTCCTGGCCTGGGTGCGCAGCCACCCCTGGGGCCCCACCCGGTGCAGGCACAACCCCGCTGCCTCCTTCCCACGTCACGCTTCCTTCCCACGCCCACTCAGCCAAGAAAGCGGGCATTCCCAGCCTCCTGACCCCCCGGCCCCTGCAAACCCACTAACCAGCCCTCTCTAACCCTGGGGGGGGGCGGTCCCCCACTGTCCCGTCTCTTTACTGCTGGAGCAGCCCCGACCTGGGCCCACTGCCGTCCCTTCCCAGGTGCCCTCCACGACAGCCAGTCACAACCCCAGGCCCACCTCCTCCAGGGTGCAAGCCCAGCTGGCCCGTGGACAGGGCAAGGGTGCAGCCTCAAGATCTCCAGCAGGGACTAGCCAGAGACCAGGGTGCACCCTTGGGGGGGCAGATGCATGGGAGGGGAGGAGGGGTCATCCCTGGCGATGGCCTGGCTAGGCCTCCGGGCTTGCGTGGTGCTGGGCTGTGGGTGACCTGGGGAAGGCGGCCGTGGGAGACAGTGGCCGGAGTGACTTCCAGGCTCCAGGACCAGTGGTTGTCAGACCGGGCAGCTCCTTTCCCTCCAGAGAGGCTGCTCCCACCACCCATCAAGGCCTCGTTGTGCCCTGTCCCCCGAGGCACATCTGTCCCCATACTCCTCCCCCGTCAGAAATAAACACTCGGTGCCAGGAGGAGCCAGCATGACCGCCAGATGACCCACGGGGCGGGTGAGGGCTGCAGGCCAGGCTGCGGGCGGCTCCCAAAACACCCGGTTCTAGCCCGGGCATGAGTGGGATGTCCTCTCCTCTCACATAACCCTCCGGGGCCTTCGCCCGGAGGGTTGGGCACTGTCCTGGGCTCTCAGGACCGACAGAGCCACCTTCACACACGTCCCATCTTTGATGGCATCTAGCAGAGGCCAGCTGGGAGCCTGGGGCGCAGGGTCATGCAGTCACCTGGAGGGCTTCCTGGAGTGCCAAGATGGGGGCCTGTGACCACGGTGCCCACTGTCCAGCCCCACGGGGCCCAGAACCACCCCAGCCCTGCTAGGTGCCCACCCTGTTGCCTGCCCTGCTCAGAGCTATGGCCCCCATCTCCTCGGAGTCACCTTGGGCCCCCAGGGAAAGACAGGAGCACCCGCCTCAGGGGCAGGCTTAGGCCAAAGACCAAGGACTCAGGGCCTAGACCCCAGTGGCAGGCCTTGCTTTCCTCTGCTGGGACCAGGAGATCCTGTAGACGCCTGGGCCAGCCTGACATGGCCAGGTCACAGAGCCAAGAAAACTTCCAGAATCAGGACACTCCACTAGGGCCCTGAATGAGCAAGCCTCTACCCAAAACTGTCCTTCTGGCTTCTGGGTCTTTGAGGAGATGGACACCCAGGTCAGCTGATGGTGACCCAGGAGGGCCCATCTGTTGATCTGCCTAAAGACCTCTCCCCCAGCCCTCAAACGGGTGACTGGATAGGCTCTAGGCCCCACCACCCACTGCCTGGCTGGAACCTTCCAGAAGCCATCTGCCCTGGTCACCCTGATAGTGTCACAGCTATGGGAGGCGGTGGGGCGTGTGGGAGCATGGTGGGGGCTGGGCCGCTCTTCTCAATGCCCTGTCAGACCCCTTCCTGAGGCAGACCTGCTGCAGGCCCTCCACCCTTCCCAGGGCAGCTCCCAGCCCTGGGAGCTGCCCTTCAAGGTAAGGAGGCAGCAGGACTCAGGTGCTCCCATACAAGGCCATCTCTGGATTTCTGCCCAGACCACGCAAGACTCACTTCCCACGGCTCCCCTGTTCTCTCTCTGCTGACACCTGGCAACCTGGTGGCTGTCCTTCCCAGCAGGGCCCTGGAGGTTGGGTTGGCCTAGGACTCCGGGAGGGGAGGGGCGTAGAGAGTTTCTGGCAGGGGGAGGAGCTCTGAGCTGGCCCCTGCTGCACCTGCCTGGTGTTGTCAGGCTGCAGACCCGGCACCCCTACTCCCTCTTTGGGTCCCAGTGTCCCACCCAGGGGCATTAACCACGCTGCCCTCAACCCTCTGCTTCAGGTGGGTGCTGGTCCCTGGCCACCTGCCCAAGGAGGCCTTCTGCCCCAGTACGGCCCGGAGATGCGGCTGATCCAGGTCTGGGGAGGGCTCAGGGGAAGGGGATAAGGCCTTCAGGGATGTTCCAGAATATTTTGTCTAGCAGCTTCTCCTTGACCCAGGGCACTGCCTTTTCCCGACTTAAATCCTTTGGGGACCCACCAGCCAGTCTCCTCAACACCTTCCAAGGGAGAAGCATCTTGGGGTGGGGTGAGCCCCGGGGCAGGTGTTAGGGCCTGAGGGGGTGGGGTGGAGTCCAGTGGGGCTGCCCCTGCCCAGCAGCTCAAAGCCCTTTCCCACACCCTGGGGAGACCTGATTGCCGAGCAGAAGGTGGGTGGGGTCCACAGGTCCTTGCGAGTGCCTTGTCTGAGGCTGGAGGACACTGTCAGCTGCAGGCCAGTGAGAAGCCACCAGGCACCTGGACAGCCTCAGCCCTGGAGAGCCATCCCCGGGGCACACTGCCAGCCCCCCAGCCCCGAGGCTGAGATCAAGTCTAGCCCTGAGCCCTGGGCTTGTATCTGACCTGGCAGGCTAGAGGCAGGGGAATGGCCCCAATGACCTCTCAAAGATGAGGCCAACTCCTGACATCCCCGTGGCCCAAGGCAACCGCCACCCAGAGCACCTTCCTGCCCCAGCCATCCTCAGGCAGATGCCCATCGTCAGCCGCACGCCTGGGCTGCAGGGCCCGGGGGGGTCTCAGCCTCGGCTCTGCATCCAGAGCTATCCGGGTGCTGCGGTGGGCCTGGACAGGGGTGGGTCTGGAGGGGGGCCGGCCTGACCGAAGGTCCTGGCATGGGGCTCCTGAGCAACCATCACCTGTGCCATGGGCTCAGAGCAGGCGCCCCGCCCTCACGGGTCAGCCACCCCCACCCGCCCTCTGAGAGCCGCGAAGCAGCACGTGGTCAGCCCGTGGGGTGGGGGGGCAGGAGGGGCCTCATCACTGCCAGCATCCAGCACGGACGCACCCCCCCATCCCCCATCCCCACATCAGCTGAGCAGGGGCCCCGCGGCGGAGATGGCCCAGCTCAGAGCTGCTGACCACACAGGGCTCAGCTCAGAGCAGTGAATGGGGCGGGGGGGGACACAGAGAGTGCAGGGGGAGTCCTGTGACTGCAGGAGGGAGGGAGGGAGGGAGGGAGGGAGGGACGGCTCCTGGATGCGCCCTCCCGCCTCCCCAGGCCTCCGTCCTGCACAGTGGAGGGGGTGGGGCAACAGCCAGACCCTACCTGGACCCCGCAACAGATGAGTCACTGCTCACCGCACCTCCTCCTCTATCTGCCCGGCCCAACAGATCCTGGAGCACCTATTTCCTGAGCCCCGAAATTGTGCCCCAGGCCCCCACCCACTTCTCCTGCGGGAGAAGGGACATGGGGGCCATCTGGCCTTCTGCTGTCCAGTGGGGAAATGGAGGAGGAGGGACTCAGTCCCTGGCGCTGGGTCTGAGGGCCAGACACTGGGGTCCCCAGGAGCCACTCTGTCCTCAGGAGGACCTCGTTCCACCAGGATCTGTGGGACCCCCGGGGGTCCGGCGGCAAGTGCCCCTCCTGGCAGGTTAGCCCAGCCTGCCCAGACGAGAGCTATTCAGGCCCATATCTCCAGGTTCCTGCTGTCCTGGGTCACTTACTGCTTTGCCCTGGGGTGTGCTCACTTGTCTCAGGGCGGCCTGGCCTGGTAAGGGACCTGCAGCCCAGACATCCACTCAGAGAGCTTCAGGCCTCCCTAAAGCCAAAGGGCTGCCAGCCGGTGAATGGGCAGGAAGCCCAGTGCCCCCAGGGAGGTGCGGCCGTGTCCCCCAGGCCTTCCTCCACAGCCCTCTTCCTGCCCCTGTCCCATCCTGAAAGGAACTCCCAGATCGGTTCCTGGGCCAGGCTGGGCCTGGGGCAGCCGAGGGTCCGTGCAGGGTCCTGGGCTCAGCCCCCCCAACTCCTGCCTGTGCTGGTGGACTGTCATCCCATGGCCCATATGTGGATGGCACCGAGAAGCCGGGCTGACAGGAGGCCAGGGCGGAGGGTGGGGGTCTCAGGCCTGCCTCCACCCCCTCCCCCGCACCACCGCCCCCCTCCCCTCCCTACTCCCACCTCCCTCTCAGGTGTCTCCTGTCTCTTTCTACCCCACCCCCTCACATTGGCCTCTGCCAGGGACGCCAACAGCCCCCTGCCAGCCCGGGCACCCGTGAAGAAGCAGGAGATCCTCCACGTGGCACTGCGCAGCCGGCTGCTTCCCCAGGCTGCCCTACTGATGGAGCCCCACAGTGCTCCAGTCTGTGCTCCCCACCCCCGGGCCACTGGGGAGGGGGCCTCACGTCCCTGGCCTGGATGTCAGGGCTGCAGAGCAAAGGTGCCAGGGGAAGAAGCGGCAGGCTCCAGACCCGCGGGTGCCCAGCCCCTCCCAGCAGCCCACTCTCAACCCTTCCCACAGAACTGCCACACCTGTTTTTCCAGGATTTCTGAGATCCCAGCCTCAGAAGGGGAGACAGGGGCCCACCCAGTCCCACCAGAACAGGCTCAGCCACCTGCAATGGTCCCATAGCAAGGGCCTAGCCAGGGCCAGGAAGCCCGTGGGGGCTGAGGTGCAGATGTCCCCACCTTGCCAGGGCACCTGTGGACCTGGTACCACCCTCCTGCCCTCATGAGGTGGGCGGCAGTGCCCATGCTGGTCCCACTCAGGGAGCTGACCTGACCCCATGCCTCCCCCTTGATCACTTCTGAACAGCCTTGGGGCCATTCCAAAGCCAGAGGCCAGGGCTGCCAAGAATTCAGCTTCTGGGCGAAGCCCTGGGACAGGAGCCTGCACCCCCCAAGTGGGCTAGGCCTGTGTCTGGAGACGGGCGGCCCTTGTCCCCCCGCGACCACACCTAGAGCCCCGCTGTCTGCACCCCACAGAGGGGCTCCCCCTGCTTTATTTTCCGTCCCAGGCCCCTCACCTTCCCCAGGATAGCACGCCTCTCCCGCTCACAGTGGTCAGAGCTGTGGACCCCACTCAGCCCTGAGCTGGGGCCCCGCTGGCCTGGGATGGCCTTGGGCTGAAGCAGAGGGACAGGTCACACCCATGAGATCTGAACAGGGCCCAGGACCTCAGAACCAGCCCATCCACCGACGGCAGCCTCTGAAGGTGGGGGTATCCCTGAGTCCTGCGCTGGCAGGGAGACCCTGGGGCTGTGAGCAGTCCCCGTCTCCGTGTCTGTACCAGGAGACAGCCTGAGTCCATATGGTGCTCCTGGGCCAGACTGCTGGGCAGGACCAGTGTAGCTGCAACCACACACAAAGGGTGGGCCTGTGCCTGAGGTGAGGGGGGACCCCAGGCTGAGAAGGGGACCGAGGGGACCACCAGCCAGAGCCTCAGCAGCTGGCTGGGTGGGGAAGGTGTGCCCAGCACGCCTGGTCTTCGGGCCTGACTTTGGGGGCAGATCCGGTTACCTTGGTTATCTGGGCCCAAGTCCGCCATCACCATCCAGCCCGCTGGGCCTTTCAGGACCAAACTCATGCAGTGCAAATCCCCTCCCAGGGTCACTGGGCTTGGAGAGAGAATGAGGGTAGGGCTTTTGTGAGGGGTCCCAGCCCCAGATAAGAAGTGACCAGGGGTCCCAGGCAAGGCAGTGCCGAGGCACACGCTCCCTACCCCCATCCAATCTACTGGGCTGCATCTGGGACTGGAGAGGGGATCAGCCTTGCAGGAGCCTCTGCCCGGCCTCTGCCCTCACTCAGCGCAGGTGGCAGGGCCCAGGCACCCGGTCAGAGCCTCTTACATAAGCAGCCCTGTGGGGAGCGAGGCTGCAGCTGGCCTCCTCCACTCTGTCCTCCCCCAGCATCACGAGCCTCCAGTGGGCTGTCCTTGGGCCCTGGGTGGAGGCCAAGTCAGGCCCATAAATAGGGGTCTCTCTAGTGGCCTCTACTCCCCCTGCCGGCCTCCCTCCCTCTGCCTGCACTGCCAGCATCCCGGGCCCTGGTCACACACTCGGCTCCAGGACAATGACCGCTCTGCACACGCTGTGGATGGGGCTGGTCCTGCTGGGGGTCCTGGGAGTCCTGCAGACGCGGGCCCAGGCCCCCGTCTCCCTGCAGCCCAACTTCCAACAGGACAAGGTGAGGGGCTCCCCGGCCCGGTCCCCCAGGCGGCACAGGGTCCCATCAGGGGAGGGGGGCGCTCTCTGGGGCTGAGTTGTCTTCCTGCGAAGAGGGGAGCTGAGCAGAAGGAGGAGGCTGCCCAGAACCACCCCCGTCCCTGGGCCTGTGGCAATTCGCCAACCAAGAGAGCAGAGCCACTGTACCCAGACCGGCAGGGAAGCACCTGCGTCCGTGAGGGCGCACGCGGCACATGCGGACCCCGGGGGCCGAACGCGTGCCTCCGCCATCCAAACACGGTCACCCCGCTAAGCTAATGACGCCCAGAGGAAAACAGGCACAGGCTCCACACCGGGGCCCCAGGACACAGGGTGCGCGAGCGCGCCCACGGGGATGGCCCACGGGGATGGCCCCAGAAACCCGAGTGCGCGCAGGGACGCGTCCAGCACACGCTCAGTCGGTCCTCCGGCCCGCGCGCCCCGCCCCGCGCCCCTTCCCGAGCGTCGCGGGGGCCCCGCGGCCGGCCCCGGGCAGCCGAGCCCGCCCCAACCCCTCTAGGTACGGCCCGGGCGCCCTCTGCCGCCCGCTCCCGCCACCGAACCAGCCGGGTCGGGGCGGAGGGGACTGCGCGCCGCGTGACCGCCTTCGGGGGCGCGGGGCGGGGCGCGGCTGGAGGCAGGAGGGGCGGGGCCGGGCCGCCCCTTACCCAGGTCCGCCCGGGAGGGTCCTGGCCGACCCGGGCGGGGTCCGTTCGCCGCAGTTCCTGGGGCGCTGGTTCACCTCGGGCCTCGCCTCCAACTCGAGCTGGTTCCGGGAGAAGAAGAATGTGCTGTCCATGTGCATGTCCGTCGTGGCCCCGACCGCAGACGGAGGCCTCAACCTCACCTCCACCTTCCTCAGGTGGGACACCGGGCTTCTGGGGCCCAGAGCACCCCGCCCCATGACCACGGTCTAGGGACAGCCCCTGGCCTCACCCATGACCCCTTCGGTGACCTGCCCACAGGAAAGAGCAGTGTGAGACGCGGACCCTGCTGCTGCTGCCGGCAGGAGCCCCGGGCTGCTACAGCTACACCAGTCCCCGTGAGTGGGGCCCCCTCTAGGGACCGCTGGGTGCAGCCCTGGGCCAGGGACACCCGCCTGCCCCAGCGGTACATGGGGTGGGCTGGTGGCCACTCCACCGGGGTCAGCTAGTCCACAGTGCGGCCTGGACCTGCCCCAGGCTCAGGTGTGGGGGGACCACGAACCCTCTCTTGGGCACTGGATCCCCTTTGGAGCTGACCTCCGGGCCCCTCCCTGCCCCCCATAATGATATTTCCTCAGGCGGAGCACACATGGGCAGTCCCCCAATCCCCCTCACTCCTCTCCACGGTTTTCCAGCCCAGGAACAGGGCCAGGGGCCTCTTCACACCCCAGCCCACCATTTACCCCTTTCCTTGGGGATGGCTTCCCACTGGGAAATCTTTCCTCTTCCTTTCCGCCGAGGGGTTTGTGGCTGCACCATGAGCCCCTGATGTTTGGATCCTGTGTGTCTGCTGCCCCCCCAGGACGTCTGGTCTGAGGACCCGGGACCCTGCAGAGTTCAGGGGCTGCTGGGGGAGGGGATCATCCCTGGCTCCTTCCCACAGCCAGCCCGGGGAGAGCGCACCCCTTCCCAGGCAGAGGTGGGCCGGAGGTCTAGGGCCAGGGTCCCCAACCGGGCTTCTCTCACGGATTCCCAGACTGGGGCAGTACCCACGACGTGTGGGTGGCGGCGACCAACTACGATGAGTACGCGCTTCTCTACACCACGGGCACCAAAGGCCTCGGCCAGGACTTCCACATGGCCACTCTCTACAGTACGCACCCCACAAAAGGGACTCACAGTCTGGCCTGAGATGGGTGTCTCCCCGGGGGGGGGGGTTTCCCAAGCTGCAGGGGTGGGGGCAGCAGAGACCTTCCCCAGCTGAGGCCAGCGGCTTCTCCCTCCTGCCCCAGGCCGCACCCAGACCCCGAGGGCCGAGATAAAGGAGAAATTCACCACCTTTGCCAAGACCCGGGGCTTCACAGAGGATGCCATTGTCTTCCTGCCACAGACGGGTGAGGGGGGCTGCTAATCTGATGGGGAGGGGATTAAGGTCAGATTTGAGGCAGACAGTGTCCTGATTCAGGGGAGGCTGAGGGGTGCAGTGCATCCGGCCAGACCGCCCACTGATCACTGACCAGCACACTGTGGCCTCCGGAGTCCTCACCCTGAGACCTTGGCCTGCAGCCCCTGGGCGGGGCACAGGAAGGTACTCTTTCTGCAGGAACATTCCCCCCCCACCCCGCCTCCCCAGTTTCACCAAGCAGCTGGTGTTCCAGGCCCTTGATGAGCCCTCAGGACACCGGGTCTCCAGCCTGGTGGGGGGCGGGCACTAGAAACAGACCCAGCGGGGTGGGGGTGGGGTGCCGCAGGAACACACAGTGGGCTCAGGGCCCGGGCCTTCCCTGAGGCAGGCAGCCTGCTCTGGGCCCAGGTGGGGACAGAACCCCCTCTTTGTTTGGAGGAGGGGAGAGAGGGACGGAGTGTGACGGACTCAGCAGTTTTGGGGGGCTCAACGTGACCAGCTCTCCAGGGCTGTTGGGAGGGGGCAGGTAGCCCCAGTGGGGAAAGTGGCCCCAGCCTGGGGCGCTGACCATGGTCCCTGGGGGTCTTTCTTGGCAGATAAATGCATGGAGGAGCACAAGTAGGTGAGTGTTGTGGGCTGTGGGCTGGCTTCACCTGGCAGTCCCCCCTCACACCTGCTGACACGCACCCCACCATGCAAGGGCGGTCCCAGGCACATGGGGGTTATCTAAGGGGGAGGGGCTCCACTGGGGTTCACGAGATTCCTGGGGGAAGAGGAGCTCTGGAGGCTGGGATAGGAACCGGTGGGGTCGATGGGAGGGAGGGTCTGGAGGTGCTTGCTCCCCTGGGGCCGGGAGGGGCGGTGTTGCCTGCCCCACCCACTGGTCCCACTCTGTCTGCCAGGAGACCCCGGCCCCCAGGACCTGGCCGTCCCGCCCTGCTCTGCTCTTTCCTCCAAGACCCCCAAGGCCCCAGCCCTGGCTCCTCCCTGCCCCCACCTCTGCGCCCTTTGGCTTTCTCCTGGCTCTGAGAATAAACTCCGGAAGCAAATCAGCCGTCCAGCTCCTGCCCGTCTGTCCTGCCGTCCTCGCTGCCCATGGCCTGGCTCTGGCCTGCTCCCTGGGGACCTGACCACACCCCACTCACTTTGGGCCTCAGTCTCCCCTTCCCCTCTGGAAAGTCTCTGAGGCTGGCTCTCCGTGACGTCGCCGAGGGGTGGGAAAGGGCCCGCTAGTGTTTGCTCCTGGTGGGGCAGGTCGGAATCAGGACCGCTGAGGAGCAGTACCGTCACGGCCCTCCCCCAGCACCTGCCGGGCTCTGACCTCGCCACACCCTCTCCAGCCACACTCCTGCAAGCTGCCCCTCCAGCCAGCGGGTTCTGGGCTGGGGCCCAGTCACCTCCTAATCCCTAGGCAGGTGCCCGGGGCCTGCCCCCTCACCCCAAGTCTAGAGAGGCCTGAGGCCCAGAGAAGCTTTGCCTCCACTGGGTTTTGGAAGGTGTGGGGTTAGTACACTCAGACTGGGCGGAGATCAGGGTCCTGGAGGACAAGGACGAAGGGGCTGCCCTGTCCATGCCCCCCACACTGGGACAGACTGACTGAGTGGGCTGACGCCCGGACACCCTCACATCCCCTCTGGGTACTGTGGTGACTCCTGTCGCCCGTTCTCTGGCCCCACCCTTCCACCAGAACCCCAGCACCAAAGCCACCCTGGGCCCTGGAGCACGGTCTCCCCGACCAGCCCTGCCCCACATCTCCCATTGTCCACCAGGTTCCAGGCCCTGCCCTGAGCCCTCCTGGCTCACAGTGGGCAGCACCCACAGCATCCTGCCCTCCAGGCCCCCACCCTGGCAAACTTCAGCCAGGCCCTATAGAGGCACCAAGAGTTGTGAGGCTCAGAGGTGAGGGTGAGCCTCTTGGCAGGCTTTCTGGAGGAGGGGGACTGGGGGCTATGTCTGAGCTGAGAGCTGGGGGCAGACATCCCAGAAAGCCTGCCAAAAGTTCTCCCCCTGCATCGAAGGATCTGAAGTCTCAGGAGGAAATGCCACCGGGGATGGGCGGGGTTCCGTGGACACAGCTGAGCCAGTGCACTGCAGGGCGCAACCAGATCCCAGCCTAATCTCGGTAGGCTTGGTCCCAGGCCAGCAGGCCAGCCACCCCAGGGCATTTGGGGGTCATAAAGGCTGGGCAGGAGAGGCCACCCCAGCTCTCCTGCTAAGAACCATCCTCCATGATGCTGCAGATGCTGCTGATCGGCTGGGTCTTCGCCCTGCTCAGGGTGTCCCTAGGCCAGGCCCAGGTCCCCATCCAGGCCAACTTTGATGCCAGCCAGGTGGGCCCAGGCACCCCCATGCCAGACCCATCCTGTCCTCCTCATGGATGACCCCCCTGCTTCTCCATCCAGGTCCCAGGGGCCGGCATTATCCCCAGAGAGGCTGGAGGGCCAGAGGAGCCCAGGCCTGCCCCCCACTCTCTGGTCTAGGCTCCACTCAAATCGGGGGGTGGGGACAGGAGAGAGAGCCCCATCCACCTGCCCCATCAGCTGGGGGGTGGGCCGGGTGGGGAGGACAGGAGGCTCCTTAGGCTGGTCTGTGGCTCGTGCCCACCACCACTCCCCAGGTCCTCAGATCCGGACAAGTTGCGGCCACCCGCCGCCACGCTGGGTCAGAGTTGATGTGGCCACAGGGCCTGTCCCCCAGCTCTCCCTGCACCCTCCCTGTAGTTCCAGGGCATCTGGTACGTGGTCGGGGTGGTATCGGATGACCAGGGCTTCCTGGACTCCAAGGACAAACTGAAGATGCCCGTGGTCTTGGTGACACCCTTGCCCAATGGTGACCTGGCCCTCAAGTTTGGGTACTCCACGTAAGTGACCCTACGAACCCCCCCTCAGACTGGACCTTAGACCCGGCCAGTGTGAGGCCAGAGGTGAGCCACCGAGAACCAGAGGCATCCCTGGCACCGTAGGGAGTCAGACCCAGGCCCCCCGGGGAGTCAGGCTGAGGGGCTTAACCGTGGAGGGGCCCCGTCCGCAGGGGATGCCTCTGCCCGTGGCCTGGCCACGGAGGAGTCTCGTCCCCGTGTCTGCCTGTGGGAGTCTGCCGGGGAGACCCCACGTCTCCCGGCTCTGTGTGTCCTTGAGCAACACCTGCCCCCCCCGCCCCTGAGAGGGTCTCTCAGCTCTGAGCACAGAGTGAGGGGGGCCCAGGGGTGCCGGGCAGCCTGAGCACCGGCCCACCCTACGTGGTCAGCAGTGCCCAAGGGGTGGCCCTTTGCACCGTGGCTGGGCGGCGTGTGCAGGGCGCTCAGGATGGTGTGGTTCTTCCCCCCCAGGCCCGATGGCGGGTGCCAGAAGACGGACACAACCTTCACTAAGGGTGCTGTGGACGGGCAGTTCAGCAACGAGGGTGAGAAGGGCAGGGCAGGGAGGGCTCCCGAGCCAGGCCGGGGTGGGGGCCCGGCCAGGGCAGCAGTCTCTGCCGGCTCTCGCCCTTCAGCCATGGCGCAGACCGACATCCGCGTGGTGTCCACCGACTACAAGCATTTCGCGGTGCTGTATGTGGAGATGCAGAAGCGGGGCGTCAGTAACGTCTGGCTGCAGCTATACGGTGGGCAGCCCTGCCCGGTGGCACTCCCGGCACCCCTGTGCCCCCACTAGTCACTGGGCACGGCCTCTCCTCTAGGAGCCCCGCGCCCAAGGCTGGTCTGGACTGTTGGGCACATTCCAGCAAGTTCCAACTCCATGGCAGGGGGATCCACTGTCCCCCAGTGTCTCCTTGGGACCCCTCCGCACCCAGCCCCTCCCAGCTCCTCTGCCCCGCCCTGCCCCTCCCCCTGCCGCCCCCTGCCCCTCTGCTCACCAGTTGGCCCTGCCCTCAGCCCGCACCCCAGAGCTGTTTCCCGAAGGGGTCCAGAAGATGCAACAGCTGGTACCCCAAGTAGGCCTGAACCCCAGCCAGGGCGCCCTGCTGCCCCGGTCAGGTGAGTGCTACCGGGCAGGGCTCAGGGCTACGGCAGACCCCAGACCCAGACTGGGAGGGCCAGGCCCCAAGGCTCCCCCCAGGGACGGGGCGGCAGCTTCAAGGGCAGCCCTGGCCTATCTGGGCCAGAGGAGGGCCGGACGGTGCCCTGGCTGGTGGCCCCCCAGGTGGGGATGGCTCGCAGGCTGGGGGGCTTGTTTATTCAGGGAGGGTTGGGGGCCTCCACCCCTGGGGAAGGGGGCCCCGGGTGGTTCCTCAGGCCCCACTCTCTCCCGCAGACCAGTGCGCTGGTGCCTTCTCCTAGGTGAGTACTCAGGGGCAGGCGTGGACACCACTGCCCAGACCACGCAGTGCCCCGTGCCCTGCTGGCCCCTGGAGGCCCCTCTTGTCCAGAAGGCTGCCCGGTGGGGTCCTCATCCTGGGACCAGGGTGGGGTGATAGCACAGAATCAAGGTGGGACGGCAGGCTGCGGCGGGGAGGAACAGAGTGGTGCCCTGGGGCTGGGCCCAGGGAGGGCAGGAAGAGGCCAGAAGACGGTGCTCACCCCACTATACCTGCCCTCTTGTTTGCAAGGAAGGATCCCGCCCAGGAGTGCCAGTGCGGAGGGGGGGGGCCCATGCTCCGCGTACTGGGCCTTCCCCAAAGAGCGTGCACCACTTCTCTCTGCCACCCCTCCCCCAGCACAATAAATCATCTCCTAAAGCCCATGGCTGCTGTGCATTTCTTCCGCCGGCTTCTGGGACCAGGGCGGGACCCCTTGCTCGGCCGGCCTGGCAGGTGCTTAGCCCGGGAGGAGCTGAGGCTCTGCTCCAAGGGAAGCAAGCTTATCCGGACAGACAGGAGCATTGCAGGGTCCTCCCTGCCACTCTCCCACCAACCAGGGCACCGGACTGGGGGGTTGCCCTTGCTCAGCAGCCCAGAGCTCCCGCGGGCACAGTGGGCCTCCTGGGCCTTTGGGGTCCTCCCAAACCACAGCACAGAGCAGGTATCTGGGCCACTTCCAACCCCCCAATTCTCCCCTGATCTCTGGCCCCAAAGTACCCGCAGTTCACTCTCCACCCAGAGCCAGAGGAAAGGGGGTGTGTGCGAAGCTCTGTTCTGCTCTGTGTCTATGTAGTATCACCTTTCTTTGAAGACACGTCCTTCAGGGGCGCCTGGGTGGCTCGGTCGTTAAGTATCTGCCTTCGGCTCAGTTCATGGTCCCGGGGTCCTGGGATCCAGCCCCGCGTCGGGCTCCCTGCTCAGCGGGAAGCCTGCTTCTCCCTCTCCCACTCCCCCTGCTTGTGTTCCCTCTCTCGCTCCTCTCTCTCTGTCAAATAAATAAATAAAATCTTTTAAAAAAAATTGTATAAAAAAATTAAACCACAGCCTGGTCCTGCCAGATTTGCTGCCTTGACTGGGGTCCTTCTGGGCTAGGAGGTCACAGAGATGAAGAGCCCCCACGCCCTGAGGGCCCCCAAACAGCCCCTCCACACCTGCACCCAACACCTGGGCACCCAGCCCGTGCCTTTGAACCCTCTGGCCCACCTGTGGACACTTCGAGGCAGGGACCTGCCCTGGTCTCCCCCCTGCCCCCAGCTTGACACCAGTTCCCTGGTGGAACTGAAGCCCTGGGGGTCGGGACAAGTGTGTGGAAGGCCCAGAGAGCCAGCCTCCTCCCACACGTGTGACCTATGAGCTCACCCACCCACCCTTCCTCCCGACACCTGGGCAAGGTGCCGTCCGCCCATCTAGAGGGGCACCTGCTGAGAGATACTGTGACCGCCAGGCGATAAATCAACTGATCAATGGATTGATTAGTTATCATTTGGCTTCCATATGGACCAAGAGAAGATGGGGTGGAGGCCACGGCAGCAACAGCAAGGATTTAAAGGGGAGAGGTAGGAATGCTTGCTCTCCTGGAGAGTGGTGCGGGAAGTCTCGCCACCAGCTTCTCGACTCCCACCAGGCTCTGAACCCCCTGCCCTCCCCCGCTGACCCTTCCCAGGGCCCCTGGGAAGGATCTGTAGTGGGGAGATGCAGATTGCCCACCATGGCCTTCTGGACACCTTTTCCTCGGAGAGGGGCTCCATTCTGGGGTGGGGTGGGGCAGCCCCACGGGGCCCCTCTGGGTCCCAGGAGGGCTGTCCCCCCAGGCACCTGCGGATCCGCCCCGGGCCCATCATCTCGTCCTGCACCACCCCGCTCAGACCACGCGGGGGCAGCCTTCAGCCAGTTCTCTCCCCAGAAGCCCCGGAATTCTGCGCGCTGCCTCAGCCCCTCCCTGCCCTGCTCCCCACCGCCCCAGCGCGTCCCATCAGATAGGAGAGGCCAAAGTCCTTAGCTGGCCAAGAAGGCCCTCCCTGACCGGCCCCCCTCTGACCCCACCACCTACCCTCTTTCCTTCAGCCCTGCTGACCAACTCATGTCCCTTGAGCACGCTGGCCCTGCGTCGGCCTCGGGGCCGAGATGCAGGCGGGCCCTGCCTGGGGGGGCTCTTCTCCAGCTCTCTGCTTGGCTGGCTCGCTCTGCTCCTCTGAAAGCTTTTGCTCAAATACCACCCTGTGTGCTCCCTCCTTGGGCCTCTGGGACCCCAAGCCCTGACTGCCCTCTGGCCTCTCTAGCAGCTCCTTCCCGACTCGGGGAGCTTGCAATGCGGCGTGCCCTGGGGCGAGAGGCCACCCCTGGCTGCCCCCCCACAGCCCCCAGCCCGGGTGTCTGGAGCCTTTCTTAGCCTCTTGCCCACATTGGAGGCCCCACCTACTTGTGCCCACGCCCATGTTCAGTCAGACGGCTCCCTGCAGGAGGGCTGATGTGCTGAAGACCCAGCTATCCCATACATTTTCTAGATATTTGTGTCATCTTTTTAAAACTTCAATTTTTCAGTTTTCTTACCATGTTTTGTAACAAATCTTTGCTTCAGGTCTTGAACTAGTTCCCTGGGGCTACTGTGACAGATTAGCACAAACTTGGTGGCTTTAAACATTACATTTACCTTCTCGTGGTTCTGGAGGCCAGGAGCCCAAAACCGGTTTCCCTGGGCTGGAAATCCGGGGCGGGCAGGGCCACACTCCCGCTTCTTGCCTGTTCCACCTCCTGGTGGCGGCCAGCAGCCCAGCCTCTGGCCCCCTGGCCACACTGCCTTCTCCTCTTCTTTGTGAAACCTCCCTCTGCCCCTCTCTTATGAGGACACCTGGGACGGCATTCGGATAACCCAGGAAAACCTCCCCATCGCAAGATCCTTACCCACAACTGCAAAAACCCCTTTTCCATACAAGCTGACATTGACAGGTCATCGTTCAGCCTGCCTTGTTCTTCCTGGAAACACCGTCCTAGGCCCCAAGCACTGGGCCTGGAGGAACTGATGTTTAAAGGGGTCCTCAGGGCTGGGGACTCCACACTCACATCTCTGGACATGGTCCTCCTCTAGAGTCTGGGTATACAGCCACCTCCACCATCTCCATCAAGTTCATATAGCAAAGGAGTGGCCCATCTCCAAACCTGCCCCAGCCCACTGGTCTAGGGCGAGGGCATTTCTGCACTCCCCACCTGCAGGGGTCAGCCATGATCCCTCCCTCCCTCACCTCGACTCTCTCCACCTGTACTCTGAGCCCCTGGCCCAGCGTCCGTCAGCTCTGCCCTGAGGGACTCAGCAGCCCTCTACTATTCTCCCTGCCCCCCAGCCTCCACCCCTGAAGTCCTCAGTGGCCTCTCCTCATGACACTCGACATGGGCTTTATACACATAAATCAGTTGTACCACTCCCCACCCCACCCCTGCTTGCACGCTCCTGCAGCTCCCCGCTCTGCATTCCTTCGTCCACGATATTTATTGAATATCTCTGTGCTAGGCAGTGTTTGAGCATTGAAGATGCAGTGGCAAGTAAAACAGACATAAAGGCCTGCCCTATGGACCTCTGGAGGAAATGAGCAATAAACAGGATAAGTAAATGTATTAGTTGCCTGAATAACAAATTACCCCAAACTTAGTGGCTTAAAACAACGAGCTTCTATCATCCCCCCAGTTTCTGAGGGTCAGGAACCGGGTCCTGAGTGTCCTGGGGCCTCTGGCACTTCTCAGGAGGCTGCCATCAAGCCACTGGCCAGGGCTGTGTGCTCCTCAGAAGGCTCCGCTGGGAGGGGTCTGCATACCAGCTCCCTCACTAGCCCTTGTCGGGCCTGGTCCAGGGCCACGTGGGTGTGTCCCCAGGGCTGCCACATGTCGTGGTGAGCAATTCAGGAAGGAGAAAGAAGGGACGGCCCATCACTTCGGCAGCTTTCTACTGGCTGGAACCAGGTTACTGAATGCAGCCCACACTCAGGGGAGGGGTACACAAACGTTTGAACGTAGGCGGCGGGATGGTTGGGGCCATCTCAGAGGTTGCTGCTGCAGTGAGGAAACCAGAATGCACTTTATATAGTGACAAGTCTGGAAAACAAGTACATAAAACAGGAGAGAGGACATGAGATGTTGGGCAGGCTGGTGACCTTTAACGTAAGGTGACTAGGGAAGGCCTCACTGAGAAGGTGACCCTTGACTGAAGACCTGAAGGAAGCATGTGAGTCTGGGGGATGGGGTGGCAGGCAAAGGCCCTGAAGCAGGAGCCTGAGGTTGTCGACCAGGGGAAGGTTGCGGAGGGACCAGGCTTGGCAGCAGGTACATGGAGGACACATCAGCATTGCCTGAAAACCCACCAGCCGCCCTCCCTAGGGCCGCCCTGGGGTCACCCTGGCCTTCTTGCAAAGCTTTGAGCACAATTGTGCGGTGCCCACTTGGGCCTTCCTCCATGGCTGCTCCTTCTGCCTGCGATCCCCTATCCTGCCGCGCACGCCCCCCGCCCCTTGCCCAGGTCACAGCTCACTCAGCTCAAACTGCTACCTGAGAGTTTCATGTTTCCTGTGTTTATTATTCGTCCATCCCATTAGATCTCACACGCTCCAGGCGACCAGAGACCTTGTCTGCTGGTGGAGGTGTGCTCGAGGCCTAGGACACCAGGAGGCACACAAGAGGTGCCGGGCAAATACTGTGGAATGGACGAATTGCCATACTTTATTCACTTTTGTATTCTGACCTGTTACTCAGTTTGGCGTTAGGAACCTTTGTGTATCTGAAGACGACCTGAGAAAGATGGCGG